AAAACATAAGCGAGAAGAGAGAGAGGGAAGAGGAGAGAAAGAGAAAGAAAAATGGAGAGAGAAAAAGGAGAGGGAGAGGAGAGGAGGGGAGAGGAGAGAGGAGAGAGGAGAGAGGAGAGAGAGAGAGAGAAAGAGAGAGAGAGAGAGAGAGAGAGAGAGAGAGAGAAGCGGCGTCATATATACAAAAAGTAGTTATCTGGTACATCTTAGCTTGCTATTTAATACAATTGAAGGTCTTTTTTATAGTAACACTGGTCGTTGTTCATAGATGTATATTTTGCTACTAATATCCTTTGAAGTAGGGATACATGGATAAAGCCACAACACATATCTTCCAGTAGCTATATATAACAGTAACAGTAATGGTATTAATAATGTCCTTCAAGCAATCATGAGATCAACATCTATTTGAGTAAGTATCTTTGTATATCCGCAATTTGCCGAGTATTGTGCGTTATTTGCAAACCATTCTTATACAGAAAATATCCCTAAACAGCAATTCCAGAGAGATATGGCAACTTCATTAGCGTACGAAACATCTTCGGAAGTAAGACCAGCTGCAAATTACAATAGTTTTTTCCATCCGAATCTTTGCCATGTTTGCAAAGTACCGACTTATAATTTGCTAGAATGTAGTGCGTGCCACATGATCTATTATTGCAGCAACTACCATATGACGCTGCATGAAACAGAGCACGCAGAAATCTGTATCGCAATAGTAATACTACGTTTGGTGCGAGGAGAAAGGACAATAGATTTTCATGCTAAAACGCCGATGGAATGGGTCAAATTCAAGAACCAAAACATAAAAGATATCAGGACAGTGCTAGAGCGCGATTTGAAGCCGTACGAAAAGCAAATGTTTTTGTTCCCTAAATCGTGTTTCATTTGTTACACACAGGAGAACCTGCTTCCTCCTTGCAAAACATGCCTATACGTCAACACGTGCAACAAGCACGGTTCACGTCGCATAAATCATAATTGCATATTTTTGAGGCAGAGTTACGAACTGGATTTCGAACATATGTGGCCTGATGAGGAGAGAAAGAAGAGAATTTTTGAAAAGAGCGTAAAATGTAACATAAGAGCTTGTCCAGACATTAAAACTTTTATTAGAGAAAATATAGAAAATGGGTCGATATGTACATCTCGATATTTGTGCGAAGCTTTCATTTACCTGTCTGAGGATTTATCTGGACCGCTGTCACTGATATATGCCATGAACAGAGCAGGTATATACAGAATTTCATCGAACAAATCCTATGTTATTCATATCCTAATCGAAACACCTATGGACAAGCGCAATGTATATGCTTGGGAACTCTTGCTTCATCAATTTTGTAGAATTCAATCGTTATCAATTGAAGCGATAGGAAGAGGATTGCTAACTAAAAAATATACACTACATTATAATAGAAACTGTAAATCCGACCAACGAAAAATTCATTATAGAAGTCATAACATGACTTATTGCGAGTATGCGAACGCAAGAAAATTATATAAGTTACCAAACGTGATTGTAGTATTTAACGTGGACTTGACTTGTAACAATGACATAAGAGCACTTCAATATCACTGTTGTCCGTTACTTATGTTGGCTCAGACGAGAAAGAGGGCTGATAATAATATAATACAAATATATCAGGTATTGAGTAATATGGAAACCTCTCCGGTGTTCCCGGATCTTTATATTTATGAATTGAATAAGTTTCCGTCGCTTAGGCCATGCAGAGATTATATGACTGGATCTGCAATGTTCCCCAGCAGGTATTTAATATACTATAAGGACTTAGAGGGAAAAGAGAGTAACAGTAGTAACAGTAGTAACAGTTCTTACGGATAATTGTATGTATCGTTACTTTAGTAAGACAATTGTATATGATATATTCAGCATTTTTTCACGTGTTCCGAATATTTTAACGAAGCATGATTTTGAAAAACATCAATACTAATAGTTTTTTTCTTGAATGTTATCGTTTCTGTGTAAGCAAACCAGAAACGAACATTGGTATTAGTAAATAATTGTATCGTTACTCTATTTGCATCTTTAGAATCATATATGTAAGATAGGTTATTGCACATTTTTATTGGTTATTTTACGCGGACAAGTAGTTTTTGCCGAAAGGACATTATATATTTCTTATATATTACAAGTTACGTAGTCCTTTTATTACATTTTAAGGCATCTACTATAAAAGTCCCATTATAAAGTGACATCTTATATATCTACTAAATATCTATATATTTATTAAATTTGATATCGTACTAAAAAATATTAGATGAAATTTGGAAGAGTTTCAAAGGAATCATACGTAAAAATACTATTGGCTTGACCTTAGGGTGGGCGCACTATTTCAAAATCAATATAAATTTTTTAATTAAATTTATTTGGTCTTTTAACACAAATTATCCCCAGAGTAATTCTGCGTATAAAAGTACTGAAATAAAATAATCATAAAGTGAATACTTTCCGAGATATTTTACATGTTTTATATATTTTTATCTTGATACTTTTCAGAATAATGTATAAAATATCTCGTAAAATATTTACTTTTCAACAATCTCAATTTAATGCTATTGTATGATGAATAAAATTAGTTATTGTAAAAAATAAATAAATCTTAAAACAAATTGTATTGCTTTTTGTATATTCATGAATTCACCAGGATTAATCCCTCGATCGATTTCTGTTGTCATTTTACATATAAATATAAAAGTATTGAAATAAAGTGTCGAAAAAAATGAATCTTTGTAAAAGAAAAAAACGCGGAATACGTATCAAAACAAAAAATACAAAACGAAAAGTACATGTTAACTTAATCAAAGTGTAAATGTTTTAAATTAATTATAATAAAAAAAGAAGTAAGATCAATATAATAAACCAAGTACGTATATGTGGGTACTTATTATACATAAAATTATGTGATAAGTGTTAATATTATTAATAATTGAACGCTGAAATATCCAAATATCAAATTAAGAAAAACTTAACATCGAGGATTAAAAACTTGGCGTGCCCCAATTAATACATCATTCTTCAATATAAATATTTATAATGCTACTAATAATTTATGTACATTATTAAAAAAAATACATATACATATTCACTATGGAGAAATCTATATTAATGTTTCATGAATTCAAGACTGTGTGTCGCCGTATACAGGAATAACTTTTCTGTATGAATATATTTATAAGTTTATTTATGAATTTATTAATTGGGGCACGCCAAGTTCAACATTCAATTATTAATATTATTGATACTTATCACATGATTTTTTGTATAATAAGTACATATTTATTTGATTTATTATATTGGTCTTACTTCTTTTTTTATTATAATTAATTTAAAACATCTACACTTTGATTAAATTAACATGTACTTTTCGTTTTGTAGTTTTTGTTTTGATACAAACTCAGCGTTTTTTTCTTTAATAAAGACTGTTTATGACGTTCTCATTGCTTTTTGTATGGATTATTTAGGTACAAATCTTATTGCATTACTTTTTCAGTAAAGAAAATGTATGGATCTTTTAAATTTCGTGGTCAACTACATTTTTTTATTGTGGAATCATTAATTGAAATCCATTTTGTATGCTTACTACGCACAACGTTTGTATAATATCCATTAGTTAGACTTTCACCATTGTGGAAAACTGCACTAACAATTTTATATATATCTGTGCTTATACGTATAAGCCTGACGTAGATATACCTTTAATTTTTAAATATGTGATTTTAAATGTTTTGTTATTAGCAGTTTTAAATAACTATAATTTTAAAATAAAGATATTTTTTGTTATTATTTCATTTTTCTCAATTATACTAAGTTTTTTCCACAATAAGTATATACTTTTTCACTATTTTTCCAACTTGTAAAATTGTATTCTATTAATTCTTGTAAAGTAATATGGTAATGTAATATGGTTTTTCCAATTTTTCTGGCCATTGAAGTAATAGAATATGATTTGAATAGGATCTCTAAATTTGTAACACATTTTGTTACTATAAAATTTTCTTGGTGTAGTAATGTATTTTTTCCTTTAATGTAACTTTTAAAATTCTATACGTATACACGACACAAACTATAGATCTTCAGTACTGGCAGTGAATATCAGAACGCAGTAGTAATCATTTAACTTTATTGAATTTATGGATAAAATTGTTTTATTTTATTTGTGAGTTTACGAGTTTAATACAGAGTTTGGGACACATTTTTTCCATTAAAAATTAGGACATCTTGATGTCCTGTCTACATATAATTATATACTGCACGATTATTTACCAAGCAAGCCACTAAATTTTGTAATCGTATACATTATCTTAAAATTTAATAGTTTTTTAATGTCAAATTATGGAAAAATATCATTTATCAGTTTGGAAAGATTTCTTATATATCCGCGATTCCGCGTAGAGACCGATTTATTATTGTGACGAGAGCAAAATTACAAGTTAGACCTGTAAGAGGACATAATATTTGTCGGATGCTCAAGTACACATTAGCTTCTCTTGATTTTGTACCATTATTATTTTATACATCAATTATTATTTTATACAAAAATCATGCTTGTGCATAGTATTAGGTAAACTAAAGCAGTCGAAACGTTAGATAGTTTCATAACAATAGTAATATTATTCGTAAATATTAACGACGTATAGTTGAGTCCTTTTCATAGATCCATTATAAAAACATTAATGAGTATATGTATAAAGTTATATTATTTCTCCTAATACAGAATTGCTAGTATTAAACATTTATTAGTTAAGTAATTGTGGCGTACATTATATGTTATATATTTGCAATCTCTCACGAATAAAGACGGTTGAAATCCTTTAGTACATGAGAAACTTGTTATTGTTTTTTTCTCTTGTACAGACAAATAATTCTCTACCCAAACATTATTCTCCACAATTTAAACAATTAAGGGTATATTTAGACTGTTTTACTATGAAATACGTCAAATGTTTCATTACACAT